AAGAGTCCTTGTGCTGGGTGGGTGTGGTCTTTAATGATGCTGCTTTACGCAGACATCGGCTGTGGTAGATGTCCTGGATGGTGTGGAGACTGCTACCAGTGATGTCCTCTGCTGTTTGCACCACCCTCTGTAGAGCTTTCTGACTGGTGCAGTTCCTGTACCACCCTGTGATGCAGCCTGTCAGCAGGCTCTCAGTGGTGCACCTATAGAAGTTGTTGAGGAAGCTGGTGTTTGTACCAAACTTCTTTAGTCTTCTTAGGAAGTAGAGTCTTTGTCGGACTTTCTTGACCACAGTGTTTGTTTGTAAAGTCCAGGGTAGATTCTCAGTGATGTGAACACTGAGGAACTTGAAGCTGCTGACCTGCTCCACCTCAGTGTTGTTTATGTAGATGGTGGAGTGCTGGCCTCCACTCTGTCTCCTGAAGTCCACTATCATCTCCTTTGTTTTGCTGACATTAAGAGAGAGGTTATTTTCAATTCAGTTTATTTATATAGCACCACTTCACAACGAAGTTGTCTCAGGACACTTTACAGAAACATTCACATACATAAAAAGGTCAGTTATTAAAGTTCTCTATCTGACACCAGCTGGTCAGTGATTTCACCTCGTCTCTGTAGACACTCTTGTTGTTGGTGGTGTGGCCGAGGATGGTGGTGTCATCGTATACTTGAGGATGACGTTAGAGCTGTGCTTGGCGGTAGTCGTATGTAAAAAGTGAGTACAGGAGTGGACTGAGGACACAGCCTTGAGGTATACCGGTGTTGAGGACTAGTGTGGAGCAGATGTAACAGCTGGTTCTCATGGTGAGGAAGTCCAGTATGCAGCAACAAATGGGCTTCTCCAGGCCCAGTGTGGTGAGCTTGGAAACCAGTTTGGAGGGGATTATGGTGTTGAATTCTGATCTGCAGTCAATGAAGAGCATTCTCACATACTGTAGGTGTTTATCATCTCCAGATGGTTGAGAGAGGTGCTTAAAGCTAGTTGTGCTTTGTTTTGTGTATTTTATATTTAGATATATGTTGTAACTTCTGGTTACGTAAGTTTAGTCTTTGTTAAAACTAAACTGATTTCGTACAAAGTGTTTAATAGATTGTGTGTGTAAAATTTACACTCTTACATATTGAATTTCACTGTGAGTTCTTGCCCTGTGTCGCTCTGTGGCATGAAAACATCTACTGCAGTAACTATTTAAAGTTATTAGTAGCTTAGAAATCTTTTTTGCCTTAATGTTGGTTGATAAAGGCAGAAATGCCTCATTAAATGCTTCAGGTAACAACGTGAGCTTCACCACCTCCACATTACAGCCATGTTGTTTGTTAGTTTGTCCGAGGTTAGCTCACCCTGTGTTACATTTCCTCGTGGGCAAAGTGATCTTACCGTTCATGTAAAATATTTGATGATGTTTTTATAGAAACAGTTCCTGAATGTTGTTCATACTGTGTTAATGCTACATGTTTGTCTCTTGACCCTAAAACTGGCTAGGATGCATGAGAGAAGTGGAGTGTACTCTATTCACACAAGGAGAGCTGTTGGTCAGGCTACTTCTTGTTGTGCCATTAACTCTATAATAGATATTGAATCAAGTGTTACTTATGTAGGCAAAACTAAATGTTAAAAAGCCTGTTCAAATTCACCAGAATGCAGGAAATGGCATCTACTTTATTCAACATTTTCTGGGGGAGGACCCCCAGAACCACCACCATCACATTAAAAATGCTTCTGACACAAATGGTCACCACATTGTTCAAGTCAAGAGCCATTGTCAGCACTGGGGGCTAAAGCCCCCCTAAAGGGCAGATTGTAGAATCGCCCCGATGTGAGGTTATAATTACATGATTTTAATAATAATAACAACAACAACAACAACAACAACAACAACAACAACAACAACAACAACAACAACAACAAGTCGTGATCTAAAACGAGCCACTCTGAAACTCCAGGGCTGAAAATGAGTCCCACGCCAGTCCTAATGAACGGTGGATGCCTGCAGCTAAATTACCGGAGCGTGTTATTTATGTATAGAATTATGATTTATCTTATATTTAGTATGTGCAGCTTAGTGACACGTGCGTTCTGTGGCCTGAGACTTACGGTACATGACAGCTGTTGTTGGCAGGCTTCAAGTGAAGGCTGCACAGAAGATGTTGGAGTCAGTCTCCCCACCATCACAGACATCTACACCTCCAGATGCAGGAAGAGGGCCACCTGCATCATGAAGGACCCCACCCACCCAGCACACACACTTTTTGCCCTGCTCCCATCACAAAGGAGGTTGAGGAGCATTAAGTGTAGAACCACTAGACTGAGGAACAGCTTCTACCCTGAGGCTGTTAGACTCATGAATCTCTAACTAGAATAATCACTGTGAAAAATCATATCATGTTGCAGCTGATCTGTTTCATGTTGCAGCTGATCAGTTTCATGTTGCTGCTGATCAGTTTCATGTTGCTGCTGA